GGTGCGCTCACACCCGGGAGGCGTGCGTGCGCCGATTACGCCGCACGCGCACGCGCACGCACGCGGCCGCCCGTCACACGCCGACTGCACCTGGCGTCCCGGGGGTGTCACGCGGCACTACGCGATTTGCTAGAAATCCGAAGCCTCTCAGCGAAAGTCTATTAATAACGGCGGCACCAGTGGATAATGAGATAATTTCATTTTCTCTCGAGGAACGTGCGTTGCCAAAACTAATTAGGGAGCAAAGGCCGCCTCTAAACGAATCGGAGGAGGATTTGACAGCGATATCTGTTGTTTGAAGCATCTCGACACATACACGTTTCTATTTTTATTACCGGGAGCGAGCTTCCGCTGATCCATCATCAGCTTGTAAGAGGTTTGTCACTAATCAGCCGGGGATAAACGGTGGCTGCGGCGGAGGTGAAACGGCGCCAGCGAGCGGCGCTCGAGCAGAGCGGCACCCGTTGTCGCCTGTGGCTCCTCTCTCTATCTCTCTCCCCACTGTCGGTCATCAGTCAGTGTCCTGAAATTCAATTTATGGCAGGGTGCTTACTGTGTAAACACCAGCTAAAAGAAAATAACACCGCATCTCTCCAATAAGATCTAAAACGGATCACTCTTCAGCAGCAGCGGGTTGAAACAGTTGACTTGTTCACTGCTCGGTACGAAATGCACACCCATTTATCATAATTCGCCCTGCGGGAATCGAAAAGTAGATTGTGACTCGGGAAGATGCGGAATATATGCATAGGAAATAGGGAGAGTCGTCGTCCAGTTTGAGAGCCATTTTCCCACCCTACCCCGGCAATTTGGGGGAAACTGCGGCCTCCCAATCGTGCCTCTGCCCGCCGCTTCCGCCGGCCGGCGTCACATCCCGCGGATGGCCGCCGGCGACGCCTCGGCCATTGTCCTCCCTGATTGTTTTACTAGGCGTGCTCATTACCTCAACACGTTCGTTTTCTCCGGCCGGCCGGGCGGCGCCGCCGCCGGCCAGAAACCCGCGCCGGCTGGACTCGGGCGCACGCGCCGCGTCCGGTGGCCGCCGAATTCACGGCCATTGTCCACCGGTCACCACAATCAATCATAGAATGGGGGCGGCGGGTAGAGATCGGACTTTCCCCCGGATCGAACACAGCACTGCCGATGCTATCTGCCTGGTTTTTGTGCGTGCGTCGCGCGGGCGCCGCGTCACGGCGGCCGCGCCCCCGTCCTCCTCCGCCGCCGCAGCAGCCGTCGCCTCAGCCGCCTTCCACCGCGGCCGCCGCCGCCGCCGCCGGCCTGCACCACCGCCGCCGCCGCCGGCCTGCACCACCGCCGCCGCCGGCGCCGGCTCCCCGACAGCGGTCTGCCCGGCGCGCGGTCCCGTGCGGCCGGCGGGAGGGCTGGCCGCCGATGCGCCGTCGGCGTCGCCGGCGGTGCGCGCCTGTGGCGGGCTGCAGTCGCCGGGCCGGCCGGCCGGCGCCGCCGCTGTACACGGACGGCGGGGGTCGCAGACCTCGGCCGCCAGCAGACCGCGACGCCGCCGCCGGACGCGCCGGCCCGCGGGCGCGCCCGTGCAGGGGCTGCCTGGCAGCTCGTGCCGGACTGCCGTCTCGGCGCCCCGCTCCGGTGCTATGTCACCACGGCTGGTGCGGCGCCGGCGGTGATTGGCGAAGCGTCCTGCAGGGTGCGCTGGTGTCGCAGACGGAAGCGCTTCGGCTCCGGTGGCCGGCATCGGAGGTCGAATCCCGCACATTGCCTGCATATTCCAGCGTCGCTATCGCAGCCATCGGCGTGGCCGGGCTGCCCGCTGCGACGCTAATGAGCTCGGCGCTGACGTGCGTTGTAGGCAAACTAACGGCTGTTTGGTGTTTGTCCGTGTTCTCTTGGTTAACCTCCGCCCGCTCCACTCATTGTGACGTTAATAGCCGAGTCGCACAGCGTGAGAATCGGTGCGGCTGCTTTTCCTGCACTTACCGGTCTTTCCTCCTCCATTGGTCTGTTATCTATCATTTTTATCCTGACACGTCTCGGCGCAAATGGATCTAGAAGGCCGCGGCATTATTATCCGCATACGTAGCGCGAGTGATCGCATCGTAATAATTGTATAAAATGTCGAAGCCGTCTGAAGTAGCATTGCCTTGCTTGCTTGTGCTCTTCACCGAGTGTTCGTATCTCGTCATCGTCATTGTCCTATGTGACGATGTGAACAAGAGGTGCGGCCACGAAACACACATGAAAAACACAACAGTATAGCTTGCTATTACCCTGTGGTGTTTCCCAATTTCGATGAACGCAAGTAGTGATATTTGTGGATGTACAACTCCGTGCAGAAAACCACCATGAAAGGTACGCTTGACTTCCATTACAGCTCATACCTTTGCACTGGATCACCATTTCTATCGTATTTTCAACCAACCACTCCCGGCATCTTTCTGATCTCTTGGTTTTATGGTTCCAGCAGAGTCTTGTGCTCACCTGACTGCTTGTCACCTGCGTCTGTCTATGGTTCCAGCAGAGTCTTGTGCTCACCTGACTGCTTGTCACCTGCGTCTGTCTATGGTTCCAGCAGAGTCTTGTGCTCACCTGACTGCTTGTCACCTGCGTCTGTCTATGGTTCCAGCAGAGTCTTGTGCTCACCTGACTGCTTGTCACCCGCGTCTGTCTATGGTTCCAGCAGAGTCTTGTGCTCACCTGACTGTTTGTCACCTGCGTCTGTCTATGGTTCCAGCAGAGTCTTGTGCTCACCTGACTGCTTGTCACCTGCGTCTGTCCTTACCTGAGCCACGTCACGTCCGGGGCAACACGCGAGCGTCCGCCGTCCGGCCCGGCCAGCCATGTCCGTTCCTGTCCTGTCCCATGCTGTCCTGTATGGCCAGATCTCGGGTTCTGTCCGGTCATGTCCGGCTGTGTGAGCTGTTGGCTCTGTCCGGCTGTAAGCTGTCGGCTCTGTGTGGCCGTGAGCTGTCGGCTCTGTCCGGCTGTGAGCTATGGTCTATGTCCGGCTGTATGAGCTGTCGTCTCTGTCTGGCTGTGAGCTGTCGGCTCTGTCTGGCTGTGCGCGGCGGCCCAGCCGGCTGTGAGGTATGGTGTATGTCCGGCTGTGTGAGCTGTCGTCTCTGTCTGGCCGTGAGCTGCCGGCTCTGTCCGGCTGTGAGGTATGGTGTATGTCCGGCTGTGTGAGCTGTCGTCTCTGTCTGGCTGTGAGCTGTTGGCTCTGTCTGGCTGTGCGCGGCGGCCCAGCCGGCGGGCTGAGCCGCAGCCGGGCCGTGCTCTGCCTCCAGCTCTGAGCTGGCCGCTGAAGCGGTCCGGACAGCATTCCGCCGCGGCCCGCCCGCCTCCGGCCGGCCGGCCGGCGCGGCGCGGCGCCCCTGCATGCCCGCCGCCGGCACTGCTGCGCCGCCTCCCGCCTGCGGGCAGCGAGCGGCGGCAGGAGCGCGGCCGGGCACCCGTCCCCGGCTAGCTTAAGTCGGACATGAACCCTGTGGATTTCTATGTGGAGGAGCAGAGCAAAAATCCCCCCACATCTTCCGTCCTCAGAGAATCCGCCGTT